GACCCATTTGGCACTCCTGTATATGATGTTGATTCTCCTGATTTAAAGTATGGATTATTAGCTAAATGATACTTTATACTTAAGTGTTCTCGATTAAGATTATCACACAAGATGAGTAACCATTTGTCTTTATATTTTAGTTGTAGGCTGATTATTTACAGAGAGTTCTGTTAAACAAAAGTTCTCCAGATTTTAGTTTCTATTATGAAAAGATATATTTCCTTTTATGGCATTCCATTTGATATATGTAATATAATTTTGATTGCATCTTTCTTTTCTGCCCAATGCACTACTCCATTTTTTCATTTAACTCATTAGTGTAGTTTGTTTTGTCAATTTTATTTTTACACGGCTGGTTCAACAAGCCAAAGATTTTATTTCTGTTACTGTAGTCATTAATGTTATATTACCATTGGATTCATTATTATGATATAAACAATAGCAATAGTGATAAAGATAAAAACTTTTCTTTCCAAAAATTTGACTAATGGGGTAAAAAGGGGAGGTCAAGTCAGCTTAGTATTTGACTTCAAGGTAACAGCACTTATACAGCCATTTGCATGTAAGAAAGATTAATTGAATAAATCATAGTGGACTTTAGATGTGTATATATACACTCATAGCATCAATAATCTGAATTCTTATTTTTTCTTTATCCTTTTCTGATTTTCCATCTATGACTCTTTATCCCTGACTTTGACTCTTACTCTTCATCTCTCTCTCTACTTTGCCTTAGAAGTCCTCATCCCTTTTGCCAAAGATAATGCACCCCCTGTTGCACTACTTGCAATGTCTTCATCACAGAGATATTAGAAAATATCCAAATGCAGCTTCAGCCAAGGGTCGGATAGAGGTTATCCAGGAGCAAGGGGAAACAATCTTTGTGCCCTCTAGTTGGCACCACCAAGTGTGGAATTTGGTAAGAAAATTTACTTTTTTGACAACCTTTAAAAGAACTGACAGATCTTTACATTTATTTTTAGAAAAGAAGATTCAGATATTATGTGGAGACAACCATGATAGTTTTATTATGATGTTGTGAGGTATAAGTCTCAAGTAAGATTATGAAGTTTCAACTAGAGGCTGATTCAGAAGGAATCACTTTAGGTGGCATTCATGTGATACAGTTGAATTATTGATAGTCTTTTATATTCTTACAGGAAGATACAATATCAATCAACCACAATTGGCTCAATGGAACCAATCTCCACAGAGCATGGTACTTCTTGGTAGAATCTCTACAGCAGGTGAGAATACCAAAAATAGTAGTTTTGTTGCAAGAATATTCAGCTGTTCATTTTAACCCTGATTAGCATGTTAAAGTACTCATTCATGAATTTAATATGCTTTTGATATCTGTTTGATTCAGTGGCAGTCATATGATAAATACAGTTCTGATATAAACTAACCTTGCTTTTGTGTTTGAAGGTGGAGTATGCCATAAGAGACTGCAGTGACATGGATGATTGGACTGGGCAATGTCAGCTTCTTCTACATGCCACACATGGTATGGATTACCATGAATTCTATACTTTTCTTCAAACTATTGCCAAAAGGAGGATCGAGACTCTCACTGGTAGGTTATATGAATTTGTCTTTTCTTCTCTCTCCTCTCCTTTCCTATCCTATCCTCTCTTTCCCTCTCCTTTCCTCTCCTCTCTCTCTCTCCTCTCCTCACCTCTCCTTGTCCTTTCCTCTCTCTCTCTTATTCTCTCTCAATCTCTCTCTCTCTCTCCTTCTCTCTTGCTAACTATCTATCTTTTTTTTCAGGCAAGAAAACACATCTCAGCTTTGGGATTTGGCAGACTGGCAAGAATCACATCTTGTATGACTTGAAGAAAATCCAATGGTGTTTGGAACAGCTGCTGGATGACGAGCGGCTTGACACAATCAAGGGATTCTCCAATACAGAAAATCACCCTTCACATCTCCTTGATGAAGTTGTGAATGTGCTTTCATGATTTTTTTTTTTACATTTTGTTTCTTTTATTTAAAGTCTCGTTTTCAAAATTTATATTCAAAAGTAGTTTTCATTATCAATATATATCATAATTAAATCTTGTATTTTCATAAGCTGGTAACATAGAGTACCATTATATTGAGAGATTTTCTTTGCACTACTTTTGCTCAAAAAAGAACAAACAACTGGAGTATACCTTCTTCCAGGGATATGACATACACAAAACTACTCTTATAAGGTACTATAGTTAAAGTAGTAATTAATTGGCTGTAATGTGGTTTTCAAGAAGGACTATAATACAATGACTTTATAGTTTTAAGGTATTGAAAGTAAAGCAAAGAAGGAATTTAGAGTATTTAAGGATTGTGGTCTACCCTGTAAACATTTTTTATATTTCTGAAAGAAGTATTAGTGCATGATAGAATTCAGGTATTAAAATGAATGGGGGAATGAAGGCTTTTTTGACTGAGACATGGTTAATATGATAAGTCAGCAAGGAGAGAATGTTTAGGATATTATAAGAGAATAAATGTTGAGTACAAATGAGGGACAGACTACTAGTGTAGTCAGCATTTGCCAGAGATGCATTTTGTAAAGGCATGACTTTTTGTTACTTGGGTATTTGTTATTGACAATAACAGTGTCTTACTTCATGTCAGTACATCTAAGGACTGCATCAGAGACAGTGTAGTTAGTGTTATACTGAGAAATTCCTTCCTTCAGTGGACTGAATTCCATAATTACATGATGCTGTATCAGTATCTGTAGGTATTTATTAATTCATTAGAATGTTATTATAATGCAGTTAGTATTTATGAGATATGGTCTGTGAAATACAATTGATAATGATATATGTGCATAATAAGATTCCTAGGAAATTCAGTATTTAGTTAGCATTTGGAAGTAATGGGGCTAATTCACCAAATGTTAACTTGGAAGAAATTATAATCACAGTTATCGCCTACAGTTGCAGCATACATAATTATACTCATCTCTGTTTATGTATCAGAAGGCAATTATGTAAGAAAATATTATATTTTGGTCTCTGAAACATTTTCTGTGTAAGTCTGATTTGATGGGTTTACCCCTTTGCTTCCAAACACCTCATTTTTGCTTTCACAGTTTGTTAGAGAAGATAGAAAATATAGCTTTAATATAAAGCTTGTAACAGCTTTTTGCCTTAGAACTTCTTTTCTTGTTGATGTTAGCTGATAGTTCCTTCATTTCTCCTAAGGGCTCTATCTAGTTTGAACTCTGGTACAGCAAAACATGATTAAGTCTGTACAGCCTTTCTTACTCTTGTGATATCAGATAATTTATTCACTTGCTTGCAGAGATCTACTAAAGACTGTTTCATTTGACAAAACAATGTTATCACCACAGATGTCTCTTTTATTCCTTTGTATATGTGTGTACATGGCATGTGTCTTGTGAATTTTACTTGCACACAGATAGTTGCACAAGTGCTTAGCCACCAAGGGGTCAATTAGTAGGCCTAATGTGAACTCACCAGATTTCCCTATTCCTTGAATATTTGTTTCTTCCAAATGCTGTTAACGTTCATACTATTATTGTCAATGACATTGTGATTAGTAGGATGTTGAAATACTAATAGTAACAAAAATAACAATATTTTTGCCAAAAATCATGGAAAAGGGTAAACAGGTGAGATAGGTACAACTAGTAACTGACTCATAGGTGATTAAGTACTTGTGGAGCCTACTATGTGTAAACACAATTAATAAGATAAAACCACAATAAACATGGTATGTATTTCATGCCATCTATGCACAGAGGGTTAAGATTAAAACTCATAGTGATGTTCTTATATAATGTGTTGAACACTTTGGATCATCAGAGACAGTGATTCTCAACAGAAGATATTTAAGTTCCCAGTAATAGGGGGAAACTTGGAGATATGATAGTTCTCAAAATACTGTACTTAAGTTTGTAATCATGTAAGGGTCCTTGAATCATGCAAAGGATGTTCCTGTTCTTCAAGAGATAAAGACCTAACCATGTATGAACTTTAGTAAAATAAACCAAACTCTTTCTATATGTTTATGAAAAGTAAAAGTTCATGCTATATATAAAAAAAACATGCTATACATAGGAAAAAAGCATGTTGAGAAACACTGATCTATAGTATCCAAAGAACTTCAAATAATTTGGATTGCACACTCTCCTGATTGTATCTCTTCCTATTTATGCATTCTAGTGTCTCCATTTGGATTGTCAGTATGAATTCAGAAGGCTGTAATTGATATTTTCCAGGAAACTGACCTCATTTTGTTACTGATGTGCCATGCTTCTATTATGGCATTTTTTACCATATTTCAATTATGAACAGTAGGCAAAAGAAAACTTAATCCATTATTCACATTTAGGTATTCATATTATGATTCTTCACTCTGAAATGCCACAGTGAAGACACTTGCTTTATTTATTAGGGATGTATTATTTATGAATTATGTTTACCAGTGCAGAAGCAGTGTCAGTCTCAAATACCTGTACAATTGTTTATATATTTATATTAAAATCTCTCAGTCAGAGGCTGATCTCAATTCTTGCGGTTCTTATATCAGGGTATGTAATTTTTGTTGTTCAGAAAGTAATGCACATAATTAAACCTAAAAATGGCAGAGGCAGTTTGTGCTTTAGCCTCCTGAATTCAAAAACTTTTTTTTTATGTTGACTAAGTTATTTTCTGTGTTCACTAAGTTACTTTGTGATATACTTGGTTAGACAATACACATTATTATGTGCAGATACCTCCATGAAATATTATGAGTGATAAGTGTATATTGAGCTTCCTCTTGGGATTAACATAGTGCTATTGAGTTTAATATTTTGTACTGAACTAATGATATCAAGAGTTGTTTCATCAGTGCAAATGATGCTTTTATGCTGCTTAAAGAACAGGAGTATTATATATATATTCCTGGGTACAACTTCAACAGATAAACCTTTGTGTGCTCTTGTCGTGATATTATACTTCTGTTGTATAGTCAGCTTATGGAATGTGATAGTACTGTGTTAAGATTTATTTGTTTGAAGCATCAGAGTATGGTTTACAGTTTATCTTTATGAATGGTGCTAAAGCTGTACATGCCTTCCCTTATCTAGATCTGCTTCCAGTAGAGGTAAAAAACTGGAAAGACCTCTACTGAAGGGGCACTGTAGATCAAGGCAAAGGTAACAGTACTGGGTCATTAGAATATTTGAGTGCAAGTGCTTCAGCTTCCTGCGATTGCCTTGATTCCCCAAAACTCTAGTTTTTTTCTTGTTAAAAGAATAAAGTCTTCACCACTTTGGAAAATCACTGATTTTCTTATTTCTTGAAAAAAACAATTATCTAAATATAATTTGTGTATAAAGCTTGTGTCATGTCCCTGAGAAAGCATAGCAGGGCAGCAGAGTTACAGACAAATAGTACAAGTACACTGTTTTATGTACTTCATGAATCAAACATTATCAAACTTATGAATACCATCTTAAAGTCATTCTTTTTCTAAACACATTTTGTGTGTGTGTCTGTGTCTGTGTGTGCGTGTGTGTGTTTTTGTCCATGCATGCATGCATGCGGGCATGTGTGTGCATGCATGCATGTGTGGATGTTTTTGCAGAAGAGCTATGTGTGCCAGGATGTTTTTGTAAATAATTTACCTCATATTCATGAGTAATAGGAATACTTTCATATCTAAATATTTAGTGTTCCAAAATACTGTTATGCCTTACAGAATGTCATTATTGCAATAGTCAAAAACACAAGAATTACATAAGCTTGAAGGAATTCTATCTTTTTTATTGCTACAGTCATTACAACATAAGTAACAAAAATCCACTGAGTAATAGACCTAATGTCTCCTAAGACATGTTCTGTTATATCATATTTGATGAGTATTGTGTATCCTGAAACCCCTTCAACAATATTCTAATATGTCTTCTTAAAAGAAGAGATTCTTATCTGTGGTTTGTTTTAGTACAGAAAATTGTGCATAATATATTAGTATCAACTGCTTGGCTGTACTAGAAGTATGGTAATATTCCTTAATTATAGTCTAAAAGATTTAAAACCTTTTTTGATGTATGAATGTCATTCTTAGGTTGTAGCATGTAAAAAAGTAAAAGAGTTAACCTTTTCCAAGCATACTAAGATTCACATGGTTCATAAGGTAACTGATGAAATAAGTAATTTGGCAGTAAAACAAATAAAATCAAGATGTCTTTCTTTATGCTTAGGTATTATATTGATATTCCAAATTATAATGATATATTTAATGAAAGGAAAAAGTTTTCTTTTTAATCTTTTTCTTTGTCATTTCTCCCTCTCTCAATATCAATGATAAACATTATCTTCACTGTCTGGGAATTAAAAAAAAAAAAGAATGTGAATACTGATAAATATTTTATTATAAAAAAGTCAGTCAATAAAATAATGCTTGCTACTTTCCACATTTCTAACCATTAAGATTATTACAATAATCATCTAATGTCTAAAACCATTAGCTGGCATAATAAAGAAAACTTTATACAAACATCATCACAAAAAACATACTAAAATGTAAGGAGTTCTTCCTTTTGTCTAAAGCATCCTTCCAGAAAGATGACAAACACTTATTTTTATTTCATTATTTCACTCCATACTTTTGTCTTCGGCTTAAAGTGTAACTAAATTATCAATAAAAACCTGATGAGGCATATTAATTTAGCTATCACAACATTTGAGGAAAAAAATAAATATAATGGAAACATTATTACAGAATATCTTAAATATCCTAATGTACAAATAAAGCAAAATATATTAAAATTATCAAAGATCCTTTGTTGTTAAAATGTCCCAGAATAGGCAGATATGCCCGTGTGATCACATGCACCTGCACCCACATCTACACCTACACATAGACCATCAGACTTTCCATTACAATCACTCAAGCAGACAGTCATTCATGTATTATTCAGTAAGCAAGAACATAGCTGCATGGTAGAATTGGCTCAAAGTACCAAGACTACCAAAGCCTGAATATTTTTGTATGGGTTTGACAAATATAGATTGCGGAATAGTCAAATGGGTTATGGTACTGCATGAAAAAATATATAAACTAGAACATTTATGTCTTGATTTTGGTTCAATTGGCTGATGCTTCAGGAAGTATCTGGAAGTACACAATATCTTCCTTTATTGAATTATTTTATGTAAGTTAGAATATGAGTTACTCTTTTATGAGGACAAATGAGGATACTGCATAAAAAATAACCTTTTTAGGATTCCATAATACTGATGTTTATGGCTCAGCAGGTATTTTAACCATCTTCAGCTTGTACCCATCAGGTAGAGGATTATCAATTTTGTGTTGTATTGTACTGCGTTCCATGATTGTCAGTTTCTGAGCCATGTTGTCCAGGATTGCACTGTCCTCGTCGGTGAGAGCAAAGTCAAATATCTGGAAGAAAGTTTTGCCAGATATTACATAAGGAAGTTTTGTCCCTTTAAGATTACAACACTGATTGCAGTCCTATTTCTTTACTTACAATTCATAACTTTTATTGGCAATGAGTTGCTGACACGATCCCCCCCTCTTTCATAAAATGACAAATTTTATCATGGATAGCATACGTTTCTTAGAATTTATGAATATTCAGTCTTCTCTGTTAGTAGTTCCTAAAAACTACCACGATGAACCATCCTGTACTGATTAAGAACTATACCCTTTTTGTAACAAGGAGGAGTACCAACCATGCTGCAAAACCAAGTTACACAAATGTAAAATTCTTAATCTACAATAAGCAACTCAAATACTAATTAAAAAGAAAAAGAAAAGAAAAACGTACATTCAACAATCACAAGCCAGTATTCTGGTTAATCACACAAATATCTATGGTATAAGTACAGGGCTTCAATCAAGTTAGTTTTGACAAGGTCTTGAAAAACAATGCCTTATAATATTAAACGGTGAGCATGAACACTTCCATTTACAATGCTGCCTGCCACAACACGTACCTCTGAAGCAAGGAAGTGTGTGTGTGTGTTGGGGGAGGGGCCAGGGTGTAAACAGAAAGAATCACGGCAATGAATTAGGGTCCCATGAGACATGGAAGTCATCATTTAACAGAGAAAGACTATCCATGTCTTTTTGGTGCAGAACAAAATCAAACACCTGCAAGGGTAAAAGTATGTAAATACTACCATAAGTAATATGTTATATATATCAAGGTAAAAAAACAACTAATGTTAGTGCTATTATAGGTTAGTTATAAGGTCATGCTTTAAGTATACTAAGATGATTTTTTACTGAGTTTGGAAGAGAATGTTTGGATTCAAATATTTCTCTAACATTACAATACACAGTTCTATTTCATACAAATAAGTAATTTTAACCACCATACATGAATCAGGAAACAGTTTAACTACATATACTTATGAACTACAATGTATTCAGAAGACACTTAGGGTTCAATAATAATAAAAGGTGTTACACTAACATTTACTTATACATATTTCAAAACATATCATGTACTTCAAAAATGTAAATTTTAACATCAGTTTTATGTATTAAAATTCTCAGTATATATTTTTTTCTCTCCTAACAGGCAAAATATTTAGATACTGACATATAAAAGAAAATCCACCAAACTGTATTCTCTTACACCACACTTTTTTTCCACAGAAAATGTATTTGAATCCTCACCCTTGCAAATGCCTTGTAAATGGGGTAATTCAGCCTAGACACACCAAATACTCCACACACTCAAATTTCTACCTCTGAGTTTTCTTTGACCCTGTGCTCCCTGGTTGATTTCGGGATGCACACTACTCTATTGTGGAGATTCCAACGAATGAGAACCTGAGCTGGGGATCTGTTATGCCTCTCTGCAATTTCTTTAATTTTTGGGTCCGTGAGAATTTGTCCGTTACCTAGCGGACAGTAACCCTAAAATCAAAAGAAGGTTTTTGATATTTTTCAAACCAAGTATGAAACAAATGAAAAGCTCCTTAAAGTGTAAAACTTATCTACTGAGTAATGGAAGAATGGTAGCAATATGATTTAGCTGTGTGTTTTCAGTTTGAAACATTTCAAATAAAAACAAACAAACAAAAAGATGTGAACATCTAGGTATCCCAAAAGACTCAAACCTTTCCAATATCCAACAGAACTGCAACTAGTTAAAAACATATACAATAAAAATAAATAATGACTGTAGTACTGAATTCCTAAGTTAGAAATCACACCCAAATCATATGCTACCTTCTTCCTGAAAGGATCCTACACATATAAAAATACCTGGGCATTTTCCATCACCCGCTGCACTTTGGTTGATTTTGGTATAGCAGGAACCCTACTCTGCAGAGACCACCTTAGTAGGACCTGTGATGGGCTCCGTCTATGAAGTTTAGCAATAGCTTTCACTGTAGAGTCGACAAGAGCATAACCTTTTGCTAGAGGGGAATAACCCTGGGGCACCAAATTAATTGTTATTTATCAATATGGCATGTGCTTACAATTACCTTAAAATGCATAAGATTTATAAATTCATCTACAGAATGATACACAATCATAATCATATAAGGAAAATAGATATTTCAAGTAAAGTATGTTTTTGCAACACATGCATGACCTTTATGGTGGAAAAAATCATGTTCCTTACTTTGTACAACTACACATATGTGGTATAAATCTGAAGAAGAGAACCATCACTATGCAACACTTTAAAAGATCAACAAAATTTTCAATGCACTACTAATTATTCACATAATTCACAAGACTAATTCATATTTCTCTTACATATAATCTGAACAAATTTCACTTAATGATTTATGTTCTCACCTCAAATTGTATCTTCCTTTCATCACAATATTCTCGCAATTGCTTGGGGTTATTGAATGGATGGAACTCACACTGGTTGATATGAGGAACCACAGAACATTCCTCAAGAATCACATCAAGGTGACGTTCAAGGAAGTTGCTGACCCCAATGGCTCTCACACGTTCCTCATCCAGCAACACCTGATGTGTTTCCAATATATGTGAGAACATGGCAACATGAGAGTCTGTCATTATATCACCAAGAGAGAGAAACAGACATCCATATGCACAGCCACAAATACATATTCATAATAAAATGAATATAAAATGCACTGATTCATATTCTATCCACACACAAAAATATATATAGATATGGATCTCTATACATCTGTAAATTACAAATTCTTACGCATCACGTTTTTTTTATACATTCAAAATATTCTTGGTCAAGAATTACTGAAGTCAATATATAAACTATATAATGTAAATACTACAACCACATCTAAAAAGACTGATTTCCAATCTTCCATGAAATATACAAAATATATAGCAACCAATATAATCACATATGCTAATAGTTTGTAACAATTAAAGACTGAGAAAAGGATAAAAGTATATCATTCAAAAGAAAAGAGTCAGGCTTACCTCTAATGTTCGCCATGTCTCCTGCAGGAGGCGGTTTCTGTCACTAACACTTGAAGGAACATCAGGCCAATGCAGAAGATAAAGATCTATTGGGTATTGAAAAATACAGGTCAGAACTTTTTTTTTTTTTTTTTTTTAATATCTTTGTTTGTTAATAATATTACTTTCCAGTGAATAAAACTTTTCTGTAAATTAAACTTTCCCTCACTAAAACAGGATATTTTTCAATGTGAACTGTAGTAATAATTCTCTTTTATGTTAGTACATCACAATTCAACACCAGTTTTAGTTATTGAAGACTTCTGAAACTATATAAGAGAAAAAGAAAACTGTCATTTTGAGTCAAGAACACCAATATAATCAAATGCCTTTAGTCTTTATTAGAAGACTGAGAGCAGCTAACCTATGTAATCTGACCCCAGTCTTTCGCAGGAACCATTGAAGGCATTTCGAGTAGCAATGGTCCATAGTCAGTGGGCCAACATTTTGTCGCCAAGAAGATTTCATCACGAGGACTTCTGATTCTGGTAATTTTTCAGTGCAAATCGATTATGAAAAGATTATTTATAACATTATTCTTTTAAAACAAGAGGTTTTGTATTTAATCATAACTGAGACAATACAGTCTTTACATTATGTATTCATATAATTACAAGTAATATTACAAAAAGAAAAAATTACAGCATGATATATTTCATAACCAAAACAACCATTACCTTAACAGCTTTAGCAATGTAAGCTTCACAACCATACCGTTTGGCTGTATCAATATGTCTATACCCACAATCTTTCAGTGCATACACAACAGCTGAATGACTATATCCACCATTGTGTGATGTGCCTGCAGACAGAAACAAACTAGCATGAAATGTGTGAAATGCCGTGTCTAGCCAAGGGTCAATATCAGAGCCTAGCCACTTATGTATACACTAAATATTGTTGAAATACCCTGTAACTTTTCTTACCTAAACCAAGAATAGGCATTTTAACATTGTTGTGAAGGACCACATGTTTGTCTGGATTTGTATAAACATCAGCCATTACACTCTGTAAATATGAAAATGGATTTTCACAACAGATATATTTACTTTCATGGGAAATTAAACCAACAATATAAGAAATATTAATTAATACACCCAATGACCAATTCAGAATTATTCAACATAAGACATATGATACCGACAAGAAAAGCAATATATTAATAAATAAGTACATGGAAGAAATAAATAAACAAGTACAATGCCACAGGCAATAAAAGGTTGAATAATAAAATATTAAACTTGGCTAATTGCTGAATATCACTACAATGCTCATGCAAGAGACTACGCAACAGAAATTAGGCATAATATCACAATACTCATTTCATACGAACTACAGACAACTAAAATCAAAATATGGGTGATCATCTACATGGATTTATCTTTACTTTTTTGCCAGTACTTTACATTTTGGCATTCCACAATATGCAGCAATATCTTACTTCTTACCTAAATGTAAAGTTTTATCATTATAAATGCTTCATTTTCCACAGAATATTTCTTTGTTAACTTAAATATGAAATCAAAACTCCTTGAATACATTGCTAGTATGTAACCGTAAAAATATTTAATACAAGTTAAGAGATATTCACTTGAAACCATTTCTTACAACCTTTCGTACATGAAATAACTTAGTTTTCTCTCTATATATTTACTATTATAACACGGCAACATACTATCTGTTCTTAAAGTCTGTTTCCTTTCACATTCAACCTTTGTTCAACACTTGGTATAAAATGTAATTATCACATCATCACTTAGGGTTCCCAACATAGTTCACGGTTTATGGTAAATCTAAACCTAAGTTCTTTCCCTCAGACCTCCATGCATAATCACTATGGGGTGAGAAGACAACCATCGAAGCATTTAAAGTGGCATAAAACACTTGTATTTACTGCTCTCGAGCGAAAATTCGTCGCTCACCATGGCCCATGACCACCATAAGATCCACACACGCCTCCCTCTCTCTCATTCTCTCTCCTCTCGCTCTCTCTGTTCCTCTCTGCTGACCCTCACACCGCACTACCTCTCTTTCCTTCCCCAGGCTGCGTCTCCCCGCTCGAGATCCGCCGCCGACCGTCTGTATATATGTAACCTTGAGAATCTTGGCACCTATACCAACCTGTGGCTCCACACCTGCCCCAAGCCGCCTACACTGTCTACCATGTACGCCCGTAGATGTGGAGTGACGTATACTTACATTCTACGTATGACTTTTCTTCAAAAATCCTTTCTAACAGACAGAGTTGCCGAAAATGAGATGAGCTTGGGGTCAGCGGCTGACGTACCCGGCGATTCACCTGTTGCTCACCTCCCGGTAAATAAGAAAAAACATTGTCTGCTGAATGCAGGCGCATTTTCGGAAGAGAAAATGTTTTTTCGATCATACTGCGACATTTCTGTTAATTCTACTGTCACATATTAGTCGCAACCGAAGTAAAAATGCCCAAAGCGATATGACAAAATTCTAAAATTGTACAGTACTGTCCATTCCTGTTTACGATGTTGTTGCTACGTTACGTCACTATATTTTGACCGTTGACGCTGAACTGTGATTCTATATAATTCAGTGCGTTTTTTCGTTATCATTGTTACTTGTTTTTACTCTATCATGGTTACTACCACTGTATTTATACACTTTTATCCTTTACGTAATATTTGAAAACAATTTTACTCCTATTGTCATTTTTTAATTTCCGTTTTCATTTTATCTGCGTCATTCCTTGGTCCGAAATTCTTATCGCTATTCTTAACATTGCCAGGTTCAAGATTTTTATGCTTCTCATGTATTAGATAACGTCTTATAAATTTCCACTGTCATATTTCTGTTGTTATTTCTGATGTTGCTGTTCTCATAACAAAGGACATTTGCATTTTGAAATACTATTGATAAAAAACAACAACAATGACGATGCTAAAAATAATGAGAAGGATAATATCTACACTGATGATGTTATCATTAATAATAACAACAGTGATAACAATTGTGACAAAAACAAAATTATAGTAATGGGTAATAAAAATAATAACAATAATAGCAATAACAATGGCACTAACAATAACAGCAATAGTAATGATGATGATGATGATGATGATGATGATGATGATGATGATAATGATAATGATAATGATAATGATGATGATGATAATAATAATAATAGTAATAATAATAATAATAATGATAATTCTAATAATAAAAGTAACAAGAATAGAAATAACAATAACAATAACAATGATGGTAACAATGATAAAAATGACGATAATAACAATAATGACAATAATAATAATAATAATGATAATAATAATAATAATGATAACAATAATGATAACCAGTTTAATAATGGTGATAATGACAGTAATACTAATATTGCTACTACTACTACTGATGATAATGATACTCCTAATAATAAAGATGATGCTACTACTAATAATAATGATAACAATAATAGTAATAACAATGATAATAATGATAATAATAATGATGATACTGATATTGATAGCAACAATAATAATAATATAAAGAACAATAATAATGATAACAATGACAATAATGGCAATCAAATTATAAAAAATAATTATAATGATAATGATGATGATGATAATCATGATAATAATAACAATAATGATAATCGTAATGATAATAATCACAAAAAAATCATAACGGTAATAATGATATTGATCTTTTTTTTTGTAAGTTGTCTATTTTTTTCAACTGTTTCAGTACAATTTTGCATCGCTGAATTCGAAAATGACACCCGTTTCTCTTGTTCAGATCATGTTTTTATGTCAAGTTGATTTTTTTATGATTTTCTTTCCAAATCGATTATATTTTTGTGATATCATTGGTTGATTTCTGTTAATATTTCTCATCTGAAATTAAATGCTACGTCATCAGTGTTCAGAATTCAAGGCATGAACTGTTTATTTGCACATCCAGAATGCTTAGCGGCCGGGCTGTCTCTCTTACGAGTCCAGCAGTAACCAGCCATCGTGACTGCGCCCCGGCGTCGCTGATACCTCGCCTCCATCTCTTTCATGTCCTGATGGAATCTCTCCCCTGCTTGTCGCTCGTTGATCCCAGATCCTCAGGAAACCGATCCATGTGTGAGAATAATATTTTGTGCGAGAATAATATTTTGATGCTCATGTTGCCTCCGTGGTTTCTGAAAGCAGTTATCATGTTGGTGACAAGTTCAACGTAGTCCATGGCCTTGTTGTTGCCAAGAAAGTTCTCTACGACCAAAACAGAAGCCTTCCACCCTTCCAGTTCCACTGAGTTCACTGAGTTTTCAAAATCAGGATCTCTGATGAGATGACGGATTTGAGAACCGTCAGAGATGCCAGCTTTCAACTTTCCTTTGGTCAGTCTTGGAAAAGGCTGGCAGAAGGAAGTGAAGCAGCCACCATCCTTGTCCAGGTAGGTGATGTTTGATCAAGCCGATCCATCGGTGGATTGTTGACGTTTCTTCCTTTACAAGGCACTAGTTACTCTCGCACAGGCCAGTTCTTCTTTGACTAATGATTAACTTTGTCCTTACGATCCCACATGCACAGAAAGCATGGGTACTTGGTGAACCCGGACTTTGACAAGCTGAGATCGCGACCTAGATCATTTAGCTTATTTCGGGAAAAGGGTGAAGCATTATCGCCAAGAATTACTTCGTCTTCTTCATCGTGATCACAGGAGGAATGTTCATCCCTAATGTCAGGAAGGTCTCCAAAGACAGGTACTGGGACTTCACAGTTATCTACAGGCCGACGTGCCGATTGAAGATCAGGATATTTGAGGCTGCTCCGTTTCTTTCCATTGATCTCAGTTACATCAGTGTCACAGAAGGAACAGTCAGTGACATGGTTCGTCAGCTCCCTCCAAAGCATGGGAATTCCGAACTTCAGGCAACTCCTCTCGCCATTGTTCCACTGACGCAGATTCTCGGTGCATGCCTTTTATGGCGCCTGATAAAAAGGCGCCTGGTCACCAAGTTAATACCAAAATAAGCATGGCGATCACGCTTTACAAACTTGTGACTGGCTTCCTGTTAGGAACAATGTGTATTCGCCGCAGATGTAGCAGAATACGCCCCCCCCCCCCAAGATCTGATCGAAGCCATTTCATTCACCTGTAAAATAAAAATACCAGTTGGCGCACGCAAATCCTTCAGAGTTCGTTAGTTTCAAGAAATAATATATATATATATATATATATATATATATATATATATATATATATATATACATATACATTATAAGAGAGGGAGAGAGAGAGAGGATTAACCAAGTCGGATATTTCCTTAATCCCAGGATAATCCATAAACTCTAGGCCTATATCAGATGCAGGCCTGCGAGGATTTGAAAGCTGGCTAATCCCCACAACCTTCCGACTCTTAGTTTATTTCATTCACTTATTACATGAAAGGCATCACACCACCTAGGGGGAACGCCCCCAGGTTGAGAACCCTGGTATAAAGAGAAAAAACCGAACATGTATACAAAAGCGTAAAAAAACGTGTAGCCATAATTCAAAAAGTTGGCCTGATTGAACAAAGCCGATGTGATACTTGGCAGGGGCGGGTCTAGAGAATTTACTGGTGGGGGTCACAGGGGGTAACAATAAATCTAGGGGGGGGGCGCCAGATGACATACAGAGGGCCATTACGACGAGTCAATGGCCAATGGGGGGCACACGGGATGGCCAATCAGATTGCAGGGGGCGGGTGCCTCCCCGTGCCATCGTGGAAGCCCCGCCTCTGATACTTGGATTCAGCTCATCAAAATTGTCTTAAATCAACTAAAACATTTTAGAAAATAAATTTGTTGTTGATCAGTGTAATAATGATAATAATGATGGCAATTATGACAATAATAATAATAATACCTGTAATAATGATAATAGTAATAATAATAACAAAAACTAATAATGATGGTATTATCAATATCAGTAATGATAATTATGATACTAATTTTCATGAAAGTAATAATAATAATGATAATATTAATAGTAATAATAATGAAAAATAATGATAATGATGGAAATAATGATAATGACGGAAATACCATTTACTATTATTATTATCATTATTATTGTTGTTGTTATTATTACGGTCATTGTTGTAATCATTATTATCTTTACCATTATCATTATTATTATTATTATTACTACTACTACCATTACCATAATCATCATTATTATTATTACTGTTACTACCATTATCATCATTGTTAATATGATTATTATTATTGATGATGATGATAATAATAATAATAATTATTATTATAATTATATTTCATCTTATTATTATTGTTGTTATTGTTGATGTGTTTATCATTATTATTCCTATTATTATCATAATTGTTTTCATCACTATTTTTAACGATATAATGATACTGATAGTACTATTTATAATAACAATGATGATAATAGTAATAATAATAATAAAAATGTCAGCAACAACATTAAGATAATGATGCTAATAATAATGATAATGATAATAATATTCTAATTACCATTATCATCATTACTATTATCATTATCATTATCAATGATTATTATTGTTATTGTTATTATCATTGTTATTTCCATTATCATTGCTATTATCATTAATGTTATTGTCATTATTATTAGTAGTAGTTGTAATAGTAATAGTAACAGTAGCAGTAATGATGATATAAATAGAGACATAAGAAATTATACTAATTGTAGTGATATGATAATAAAAATAATGATAATAATGAAAATGATAATAATGATAAAAATTACAATAATAATAATAATAATAGCGTTAAGAATGATAATAAAAATAATAAGAAACATATTAATGATGATAATATTAAAGGTAAAGATAATAACAGATATCATTGTTATTATTATCATCATTATTATTGTTATTATCGTTATTATTATTATCATTTATATAATTACTTTTACCATTATCATTATTACTTTTATTATTGTTATTATTGTCGTTGTTGTCATTATCATTATCATTGTTATTATTATCATTATTATTATTACCATTGCTATAATTATCGTTGTTATTGCTATTATCAATGTT